CTGGTCTAATTGTATTCTGATTTGAAAAAGATTGAATTATTATTTTTATCATGCAATACATCAATTGGCCAGCTTTTAGATTATTAAATTAAGGAAACATTGAAACTTCAAACATTACTACTATGAACAGCTTGTTTGAAGAATTTATTGTTGTTCTAGCTTCTTGTTCTGTTTTTTACAATTTCTGTTTCAAGCATATAGTATCACTTTTTTATGGATTTATCATATAGGAACACTGAAGACAATATGGATGAATTTAGACTTTATTGCTATTAGTTACAAGAAAATGCATTTTGGATGTCATACCCCTCATCAGTTCTTACTACTATTTTGTATGACATCTAAAATTCATTTTTTTGTAACTACAGTAGAGCATTGATTATACTAAACAATTCGGACTGGGGTTGTTCTGATAACTGATCATTTATGAAAAAATATATTAAGCACTGAACTGTACTGTATATACAGTAGAGCGTCGTTTATTCAAATCAATTGGGGACGAGGTTGTTTGGATAACTTATTTTTTGGATAACTGATTATGTATGAAAAAATATATTAACCTATCCCATGTTGAAATTTTTTCCATTGCATGTTGCTTTGCATTGAATTTTCGTCGATGTTAAGCCTAACATAAACTTTTTAAAATAATAATCGTGGCTATTGTATCATTAAAAATTATTTCTTTATACATAAAAAATATAAATATGACTTTTTTAACAAAGTTAAAACTTTGTGTCTGTCCTCCTTTTTTACCGTTTTCACCATCAGCAATCCTTTAAAAAGTTCACAAAAAAGTTATTTCTTTATTTTTNTTGTGTCTGTCCTCCTTTTTTACCGTTTTCACCATCAGCAATCCTTTAAAAAGTTCACAAAAAAGTTATTTCTTTATTTTTTACAAACAAAATAAATATATTGAAAAATGTAAAAACAAATAAAAATTATACTTTAGAAGTTGATCTAGTATCAAAAACGTTCGATTCAGCACGACACAGTCCTCAGAAAAACGCCACACAAAAGTGCCAGTACTGCCAGCTAACACACACATACCAACAAAAAAAATATTGGAGTAGCTCAAGATATAGCCAAAGATTGCAGCGCCACAGCACTAGCGAAAATTTAAATTTGCGGACTGGAATGCTTTCGGTTAACTGACGTTTCGGATAACTGACTTTCAGGTAAACGACGCTCTACTGTATTTTGTATCACATGTCTTACAAATACATAACTTACATAAAGTAGTACATTAAAGTAGGCCTACTATTTATGTTGGCAGGGAGGGGGGAGAGTGCTGCAGTGCCACAGCACTAGTGACAATTTGAATTTGCGGACTGGAATGCTTTCGGTTAACTGATGTTTCAGTTGATTGGTATTCGGATAATCAATGCTCTACTGCATATCAATAAAGTTTAAATTCATCTGTATTGTCTCCAGTGTTCTTATATGATAAGTCTGTATAAAAAGTAATAGTATAAGTTTGAAACAGAAAGCTTGTTTGAAGTTTTGCTTCTTAATTTAGATAATGAAATGAGTAAAAAGCAAATTTCAATACTGGATGCTATTCATTATACAATAAAAGCATAATATATAATATTTTTCAATTAAGAAAGAAATAATCAAAAACTGCTTCATAAACTCCCAAATACTTAGTGATGACAAAAACAGTTCAAGTGACAGCATAGAATATTCTAAATTAGAGACTTCCAGAGTATTCTAAATTAAATTACATTGTGAGTATTATCATAAACATTTAGTGCATTTTATATATTAAAATTAAGCATGAATACTGATCAGATTTTCTGTGATGACTATGTTAATTTCCCTGCATTTTGTCACAGTTGAGATCTAGTTGACAAATTTAAAACAAGCAATTCAGAAAATATGTCTAATGATTTAGAGAATGCAGTTGTCAGCAAATTATACATTATGCTTCCAAATGCATCCAATGATTATGCAACTTATTAAACTCTGAAATTTTACCAAAGTAAAATAAATCTGATGAGATGTTGAAACCCTGTATTCTGTTGATGATGATTTTGCTCAGCAATGATCAGCTTATCTACACAATATTTGCTTATGTGCACAATATTTCCGAAACAGTTGCACTCCTAGCATGTTCTCAGCTGCATGTGTTTTCATACCATGGTGTCCAGCGTGTACCACAAGTGAATGGATCATGCACAAACATCCACCAGAAGATTATACAGCAGCCAACTAGGTGTGATTGATCCCATAGATGATCATCACTTGTGGAAACTAGGATCTGAACAAAGATATGCCACAGTGGAACAGCTTAACCTGTCAATACAACAGTGTACAAGGCAGATATGATTTAACAGTGACGGTGTGATGTATCTTGTGTCAATTGGGGTTCAATAGTAGTTGACTTGCACCAGTGCCTCTTTTGACCATATGTTGTTGCAAACATCTCTCACAGACAAGAGAAAGATGTCATTAGACTTTGGACATGTGGAAGAAGGTTATACGGAGTGACAAGTCCCATTTCATGCTGAACCACACGAATGTCCAGGTTCAAATCTGGCATAAACAGCATGAGACCACATCTGGTTTCAGTTGGGGTTCCACAAGCTGGTGTCAGTGGTATCATGGTCTGCAGAGTGTTTTTTTGGCAGGGCCTAGAACCAATGGCTCTATCATCTCATGATCCTTGAATAGTTAAACAGCATGAGACCACATCTGGTTTCAGTTGGGGTTCCACAAGCTGGTGTCAGTGGTATCATGGTCTGGAGAGTGTTTTTTTGGCAGGGCCTAGAACCAATGGCTCTATCATCTCATGATCCTTGAATAGTGATTGATACAGAGACCTGTTAAATGATCATCTTCACCTGTATCTCCAGGCTGTTTCCAGACAATGATAATACACTGTCATTGAACAAGGCTCACTCTAGAATGGTTGGAGAAACACAACAATGAATTCCACATACTACCTTAGCTCCCAAATGCATCAGACTGCAACTCTATTGAACATTTTTGGGATATGTTGGAATGTGTGGTGAGGTTGTCACCCACTCCTCTGTGAAATGTTCACCAACTGACAAAACTACTAATGCAGGCAAGGGTTTAGTTTAGAATGGGGATGTTTGACATCTGGCATAGTCCGTGCCCTAGTGTTTGCACCCAGAAAAATGGACCAACTCGTCAGGTAGGCAGGTGTTCTTAATGTAGTGAACATTCAGTGTGTGTATATATATATATATATATATACACACACACACACACACACACACATATATACACACTGAATATATATATAGGCTGTATCAAGCTATTTCCTCTCTTTTAATCACTATCATTATATATACACTGCTTGCTAAAAGTTAAACACAAATCACAAAAAGCTAAATAAAAGCCTAAATAGCATGAAAGCTGAATGAAAATTAGTGTGTAAGTATAATTTAGTATGCAAACTAACATTTACAACTTAAAATTATTCAAAATATATGTAAATATGCAAATGAACACTGGAAAAATACCAGCATCTTCCTAGAGATTGCTATTTTTGCTGAAAGGATACTGTAGACAATGAAGAACAGAAAACAGAATTGTTACAGTGCAAAGAGTACATAACCATGTCTCAAAGAAAATGTTTACAGGATTCAGAAAGATGGAGATCTGTTGGAAGATTGGAGGCTGGTCAGTCAATTATTGAAGTGGCAGCATTCTTTAATTAATGTCCGTCATTCTGTTAGCTCAAGGCTTTGGAGACAATTCCAAACAACAGGAACCATTGTCAGAAAACCTGTTTCAGGTTGTCCATGGGTGACATCTCAGAATGATCTATATATATGGCTCCTAGCCAAAAGAAGAGTAGGGCATCTGCATCATCTCTGTGTGCTAGCCTTGTGTCATCCACAGGGAGGCAGGTATCTGTTTTAGTTGTTACCAGAAGGCTTCACAAGGCTGGACTCTATGCCCATTGACCAGTAGTATGTGTACATCCACACAGACAGATCTACCTGAAATGGTGTTGGAAGTATGCAGGCTGGACTTGAGAATAATAGGCTCATGTCCTGTTCACAGATGAATCTAGATTCTCTCTGGAATCTGACAGCAGGAATATATTGATCTGGAAGGAGGTTGGAACCCATTACAAACCACAGAACATAATGGAGAGATGTGCTCTTATTGGTGCAATCAGAGATGATTTCATTTTAATGGACAACAATGCTTGTTCACATTGAGCAAGACTGGTTGACTAATACCTTTATGAAGAGGGAATAGAACAAATGGATTGACCTGCACATTTTCCACATCTCAGTCCTACAGAACATCTATGGAATACTCTTGGGAGACATGTTTCAGCTGTTATACCCACTCCACAAACCCTCAATGACCTCTAAACCACTCTTGTGTTAATGGCAATTGCTGCCTTCTCACTTTTTGCAATTATCGAAGGTATGAGTCAACACTGTCAAGCTTGCATTAATGCTAAAGATACAGATCTCAACAATCATACTCATACCTCTTTTTTTTGTATTCACATTTATTGTTACTTGTATTCATCTTTTATTTTTTCTGTTAACATTTACTCACTTTTTTCCCAAATGTATGCAGTGTATACTTAAAATATGTATGTATAATCTTATGAAAGTTTTATAAATTTGTTTAAGTTGCTTTGAAAATACTGTAATTTTTGTGGTCTGTGTTTAACCTTTGACAGGCAGCGTATAAATAACAATAATGATTAAAAGATAAAATAGCCAATAGTCTGATGAAAAAAAATGAAATTAAGTGTGATTAATCAGCATAGAATGGGTTGATTCTTTTCTTTTATAATATTCTAAATTAAAAATTAGTTTATTCATAATTATTGAATTTATTGTGAGATGGCCATATAACTGCTTATCTCTAGTCAAATTACTTTGGACTATTGTTAAGTTTAATTAATAATTTGAAACAGTCAAAAATCTGGCAGATAGTTTGGCAATTCTAATATATTGATTGGGTTAATGGATGTTATCTTATAGATAATTACATTTTAGGTTTGGATGCTGACGGGAGACAAATTGGAAACAGCTACTAGTATTGCCAAGTCATCTCACTTAGTTTCTCGTAATCAGCAGACACATATCTTCCGCTCCATCAAGTCTCGTAATGAGGCTCATTTGGAGTTAAACTCTTTTCGCCGAAAAAATGACTGTACTCTGATAATCAACGGCGATGCTTTAGAAGTAAGTGTATGGTATAAAATTAGAATCAAAGCATTTTCAAGTAATTCTTTTGTAATTCTATTTTACATTTTAGATCTGTCTAAAGTTCTATCCTTCCGAATTTATGGAACTTGCATGCCAATGTCCAGCCGTTGTGTGTTGTAGATGTTCTCCCACGCAGAAGGCTGAAGTCGTTAGATTGATTCAACAGCTTACAGGGAAAAGAACATGTGCAGTTGGTTAGTATGAACTGTCTTTTACTATTTCCAATATATTGCTTATGATATTGCATTTTATAAGTATAAATTTATTCAAATGATTGAAAGTTGTTGAGTTCAGTAGAATATTTAAAAAAGTTTTCCATTTATGAAGACATTTACAGAATTTACATTTACATAAAAGCAATTTATGGACTACATTTCTATATATTGCAAGGCTGCGCAAACTATTATAATAATGTTTTTTTTTCTGAGGACTATTCAGCTAACTCTAATATACAGGGTGTTTATAAATGAATGGTGTGATTTTAAAAATTAATAATAAATCTATTTATTACCTTATATGGGCAAACCATACAGCGTAAAAAGCGGCAACTATCCAAGTTTTTAATGCATTAATCACAATCCTTCAATATGTGCACCCATGATCACACGACACACATCTACATGGTAATCAAATTCTTCCCATACGCGGTGTAGCATGTCCTCCGTGATAGTCTGCATGCATGCATTATCCAATCACACAGTTCCTCAAGGGACACATGCATTGACAGTATATAAACTTGGTCTTTAACAAACCCCCACAAAAAAGAAATCAGAGGGTGTTAAATCTGGGGAACGGGATGGCCAGGGGAGCAGGTTGTTGTCTGCTGTTGCACCATGTCCAATCCAGAGTTGGTGAAGAACACAATTAAGAAGCGCACATACATTCCTGTGAACTTGGACAGTTGCCGTTACTTATGCTGTAAGGTTTGCCCATATAAGGTAATAAATAGATTTATTATTAATGTTTAAAACAGCACTATTCATTTATAAACACCCTGTATAATCTGAAAACTTCTGCAATAATATAAATATAGTGTTTGTATAATTGTCTAATGATGTATTGTCTAATAATATTTGTATTGTCTAATGATGATTGTGTAATTGTCTAATGATGTGTCATGGACGTGACACATCATGATAGTTTGGTGGACGACCTTTACAATTATCCCTTAAATTAATTGTTTAGAAAACTGAAAAGTATAACTAGTAACGCATCCATGCAGTAAGAAGAGGTGAATTTGAGTCCTTCTCTGTGTCAGTCTTTTCTTTCAGGATATTCTAAATTATTAAATTTAATAATTACATTAAATATTGACAAATTAAAGACAAATTCTCTCTAAAAATATATATTTCAGACGATTACCATTTTTACATAGTGTTCTAGAACAAAGTACAAAGCTGGACCTTCCTTTTTAGGCTACACAACTGCCTATATTTAAAAAAGTTCCTTAAAAGCACAAAAAAACCAATAAATATTAAGAAAATTCTTCTTTAAAATTGGAATGGTAAATCTTATGACATCTTGTTAGTTCATCCTTGTCCATTTGGGTTTCTGGCTCCTTTTATCTATTGAGAATTAGTGCTGACGAATGTAGATTATGTCAAGATATCCCTCTGGTGACGAATTTTAGCGATATATTTGAATTTTCGTCTGATGAATGAATTATTTTTTCACAAATTAAAGACAAATCCTTTATCTACTATCACTCCTTTTATCACTCCTTTTATCTACTTCTTTAACTACTTTCACTCCTTTTATCTACTATCCTACTTATCACTCCTTTTATCTACTGAGAATTTCTCTCAGTAGCTCAGTAGCTAATTCTCAGTAGATAAAAGGATAAAGAATTTTCTTAATATTTATTGGTTTTTTTGTGCTTTTAAGGAACTTTTTTAAATATAGGCAGTTGTGTAGCCTAAAAAGGAAGGTCCAGCTGTCTGTACTTTGTTCTAGAACACTATGTAAAAATGGTAATCGTCTGAAATATATATTTTTAGAGTGACTTTGTCTTTAATTTGTGAAAAAATAATTCATTCATCTGACGGAAATTCAAATTAAATATTGAATTAATGCTAATATAAGATAGCAAGCAGTTTAACAACCTATTTCTAATACAAATTCTTTTAGATAAATAATTAGCAAGTTACTGCCTGAGATAATATGGTATTAATTGATTTGATACATAGATGTTTGGGCTTGCTTGCTTGCTTATATACAGTCAAATCTCTGAACAATGGTCACTGACAGAAACATAAAAAATGGTTGTTGTTCAGAAGTTATTTTTATGCATTTTTTTGTTCTAAAAAGTTCCCAAAAAGATGGCTGTTGTTGGAATGTGGCCATTATTGGAGGCTCGATTATGTATAAATCTTGTAACATATGCCTTTTTCTTATTTTTATTTTCATTCTTTATTGTAAATATTTATGAAAATATTTCTGTAGCTTTTATTTATTTCTATATTACATATTTTGTTTTGTCATTGTAAATAGGTTTATTTCATTTTTCCCAGTTTTTAAAATTGATAAAGCTGATTGAATGATTTATTTTGAACATTCATCAATGATTTACAAGAATATATTGCAATGAGTTCTTGCAACATATTTTGAAAATTATCTAAATTTGAATAACTTTGATTACAGTATCAGGAGTGATGGCAGTGACTTTCTGCCAAGTAAAAAAGTCACAGACCGACTACATGTGCAGGAATTAGAGTTGCTGATTTTTGGGGGTCAATTTCTCCAGCCCTCAAACACCTGAAGTAATTCGAATATCTCGTTTGAAAGAAAATTGTTTTCTTAGGTAGTGTGCAAAATTTCAAGATTTTCTATAAATCAGTTGCTGAAATATAAGCAGTTGAAAAGTGCAAAAAATTGCCAAAAATGCTGTGTTCTTTTTCCTCTCCACCTTCTTCTGTTTCTTCATCTGGCACTACAGACACTCATAGAGAAAAAACTACTGGGTGTAGAAAGCTCAAATTTAAACTTAAGTCTTTCTCATTATCAATGAAGTGCTAGTGAAACTTCCTGGTCAACAGGTCAAAGTTTACGGGGTTTCCCATACAGCTAATTCAGTTTTGTGGCTTAATTAATTAATTTTGTGCTTATAAGGATAAACTTGCATGGAAACAAGTGAATTTTATTCAAAATGTTACTCGGAATTACAAAAGCTCAAATTTGTTCCATTTAAAACTTTTTATATTGATTTTTCTAAATGATGTATTGAAAGTGTTAGTTAGCAACATGTTTGTTCAGTGCCAACTGACAAAATGTGTCGCCAAGAACTAACTGAAATGAATATCGAAAGTGTTTGATCACTGAGCACTGACTGATCTTATGTCTTGACATAATAATACAATGTAATTGTTTTTGTTTAATAATACAATTATTAAACAAAAACAATTACAAAAACAAATAAAATTATTAAACAAAAATAAGTGAGATATAAAAGAATTTTGCGAAGTAAAAATTTATGACAATTTAGACGACAGTCAAAATTTTTCTTAGCAGTTTTTCTTTGGTAAAGATAAGCTTGGTGCTTTGAAGCGGTATCCACAAGATTTTTGCTTGTACATATTATTGTTTTCTACATTTTTCCTCCAAACACCAAATTTATTTTTACCAAAGATAAATTTAACACCATGTAAAATGTCCATAACTGTTGCTTTTAAATGTCAAAGGTTTATCCTCTTGTAAAATAATGCAGTGTGTGCAGTATCATCAAGGAAGAATTGTGCATTTGTTACAAATGAGAGGTTAATGTGTAAGTATGACATGCCAGAATAGGATGCTGGAGCATCTTAGTGTGCAAGAATGCACTATTTGTTCTTCCAAACTAAGGAATAAGTGGAAAGAGTTGAGAAAAGTGAATGCATGAACTGCATGACATTGTGCAACATGGATTTAAAAGCTTACCATTCATGTAAAAAGCCATAAATGAGGATTAAAATGTGCAGACAATGGCTTATCTGGACTAAACAACATGTGGACTGGATCATTGACATGTGGGATTCTGTTATGTTTTCGAGTGAATCCAAATTTAACCTGCACAAATCTGACAGCAAAACCTATTGACAGCAAAACCTATCTAATATAGGTTTTGCTGTAAGATGTAGAAAAGATGAGGCATATAACAGTGCTTGCTTGAGGAGACTGTAAAGTTTCTGGAGAGTCAATTGGTATGGGAACATGCATCCAGTGAAAGCAATGGCAGACTATGCTTTATAAACTTGCTCTGCAAATACATACTGTGTCAAAAAATCTTATCTGCCAAGTAAATTCCAACCAGGGCTGTGGAGTCAGAGTTGGGGTTGTGGAATTTTGGTGTTTTAGTCAGAGTTGGAGTAGGAGTCGTCAAAAATCCTCCGACTCTGACTCCTTTTTACTTCCCAACTTGTTATGGAAAAGTATTGGAATCATGTCAAATTTGGCCCTCTGAGTTTTTTTTGCAAATCTACACATTCGGAGACCTCCTGAACCCAAAAATGTCAAATAAAGGGAGAAAATTTGTGTGTATGTGTATTGGTGTCAAATTTGTTTAATTTCTTTATTTTCTGTTCTGAGATATTAAACAATATCTTAGAATGAGTAAATTTAGTTAAGAAACTAAATTTGGCACAGTAGCTTTGTATAAAGGGGCATTAATGCTATTAAATTTTGGTTCTTAATTAAAGGTAGACAGGATGGAGACATAGAAGAAGTCATGTGTCATATCTCCAGTGTGGTTGGACTTAACTATTTTACTCATTATTAACATTTACAATTTTTTATAAAACCTGTCTCTACCCTCAAAATTAAGCATTTTGTCATTTTATAATAGTACAGTAAAACCCGTTAATAAAGAGGTGGCCAACAGTTTTTGCCCCGGGCCGAATTGGAAAACTTTTTCATGGGCCGAACCAGAGGCTGCCCTAGGAAGATTTTGAGGTGGTGTGAGATCTCATTGTGATGTCACCCCGTAGAGACTAAATTGTACATAGAGATTACAGATACAGTAATACAGTAGAACCTCGAAAACTTGGCTCTCGATAACCCGGCACTCCGGATAACTCGGCCACACCCTGGCAGGGCAAGATAATCCTTAGTTAATTAATTTTCATTATAGACAGCTTTATAAAAGTATAAAAGCTCTCATAAAGTATTTTTCTGAGGTCTGTCTTATCAGGTAAATTGCTGTACATAGTGTATTCATTAATTTTCATTTTCATGCAGTAAAGGCTCTATGCCTTCATAAAGTACGTAGTTTTCCTTTGTTTAAGGATATTTGGGCAGTTTATTCTCTGTTATATTCTCAAGTAAACAATACATACAAGTACAGTACAGTATTTTCTGAGGAAACACTCGTACTTATTTTTTTTAACCCCATTCCCGATAACCCGGCATTTTCACAAACTCGGCCACCCTTCGGTTTACATTAGGCCGAGTTTTCGAGGTTCTACTGTACCCCGAACTTATGCGATAGGTGGGACCGAGCGATAACCGCGTAAGTCGAATTCGCGTAAGTCGGGGTATAATTTCGCATATAAATACATACAAATAATTTTTAATTGGGACCGGAGACTAAAAAAAGCAATAATTTAGAAAAAAATGATTAATAAAATCTTAGGTAATGTTATGTTTATTGTCTCGAGGTTACAACTAAAGTGAGCGCTCAGGTACCGTTCCCGTGATGCATCAGCAACGATCGCCACCTGGCGGACTCACTAATATTTTACATTTTAACATTTTAATACAATACATATTACATCTCCCTTTCTTACACAAAGTCTTTGAAACGCGATGGCCTACGGATCACCCGGCCTGATCGAGTTGTCAAGTCTGTAGCCTCATTGCCGCTCACCTCCTGATTTTCCAACTGCTCATTCTCTGTGTCCTTTTCCTCACTACCACTATCCATGTTTTCTCCTTGTTCACTGGCCTGTTCTTCCTCACTTGGTTGATCCAACAATTCGCCTGAATGATTCTGTATGTTTCTAAATCTATTCACATCGAACTTCCTTAAAAATCTTCGGTTACGAATGAAGTATTTACTGTCTTTGTCTATGCGCACAATATAAGATCTTGGTCGATATCTGTCTATTTCTATTATTTCACCAGGCTCCCAGTTTCTTTTATCAATTTGGATCATCACTCGGTCATGTGGATTCAATGCTGTTAGGTCTCTAGCATTTCTGTCGAAATAGTGTTTCTGTATTTGTTGTCTTTGCAAATGGTTTTTTCTAAATTTGTCTACAACTATTCTGGGTTTCAAGAGATTATTCCTTGTGGGCACTTGCCCTCGCAACCTACGACCATAAAGAAGTTGTGCTGGGGATGGAATACCTCGACCTAAAGGTGTATTTCTGTATTCCAACAAGGTCAGATAAATGTCCTTTGAGTCATAGACTGCTTTCTTAAGTAATTTTTTGATAGTCTGCACATGCCGTTCAATAAAACCATTAGACTGAGGGTTTCGTGGAGAGCTTGTCTTATGTGTTATTTCCCAGTGTTCTAGAAATTGTTGAAAATGTTTGTTTACAAACTGGGTATCATTACCTGAGTATATAATTTCTGGCTTGCCATGTCTGGAAAATATCGATTTCATAGCTTCAACTATTCTGGAATGAGTGGTGTTCTGATTCATACAATAAACTTCTGGGAATCGTGAAAATGTATCTACTACTAGTAGATAGTCTTTACCAAATAAATGACAGATATCAGTTGTGACAATTTCCCACGGTCTTGTGGACAGTTCTCTGTTAATAAGCGTTTCTTTCGGATTTGAATTTTGATACTTTAGACATGCTGGACAGTTCCTGACAACATCAATTATTTCTTTTTCCATGAACGGCCAAAAGACATGTTCTTTTGCTCTCCATAATGTTTTACTGATTCCCATGTGATTATAATGTAGTCTATCAATTGTCTCTGCTCTCATGCTCTTGGGAATAACTATTTGTTCACCTTTACATACTATGCCTCTCACCTCACTCAGGTCTTCACGAAACTTCCAATATGGTTTGACTAGTGGATCTATCATGTTTTTCTGTTCTGGCCAACCTTCCTTTATTATATTAATCAGTGACTGTAACTCTTTATCTCTTTTTGTTTCATGCCGAAGTTTTTCAAATTTCTTTGGAGTAATGCTACAGTAATTGATAAGGTTAACTTGAGCTTCAACATCAGATTCCATCACATCAAAATTCTTGTCCACATAGCTAGCTCGAGAAAGGGCATCAGCCAACACAAGTTGTGATCCTGGTCTGTATTTTACTCTAAAGTTATAATTTTGTAAGGTTATCCTTAATCTCTGAAGGCGTAGTGGACATTTATTTAGTGGCTTTTGAAAAATTGCCTCTAACGGTTTATGGTCACTCTCAACTATAATTTCACGACCATACACATACTGGTGAAAACGCTGGCAGCCAAACACTATTGCCAGTGCTTCTTTTTCAATTTGCGCATAATTTTTCTGGGTCTCTGTGAGTGTCTTTGATGCATAAGCCACCGGAGCACCTTCCTGAAGTAGTACAGCTCCCATTCCATCTTTTGAACTATCCACTGAGAGTACTAGTGGTTTATCTTTATCATAAAATTGTAAGACTGGGGTGCTGCTCAAAAGATTCTTTAGCTTCAAAAATTCCTTATCATGTTGCTCAGTCCATTGCCACAAACAATCCTGTTTCAGTAAAGTCCTTAATTTTGCAGTATGACTAGCTAAATTCGGTATAAATTTTGCCACATAAGTTATCATGCCCATGAATCGATTAAGTTCTTTTAAACCTGTTGGCTTTGGGATGCGTTTGATTGCTTCGACTTTATCTGGATCAATTCTAATACCATCTTCTGACAAGATGTGTCCCACATATTTGACTTCCTTTAGTTTAAATTTGCACTTATCCTTATTGAACCTAATCCCCTTTTCTTCAGCTGTCTTCAGAACCAATTCTAAGATTCTATCATGTTCTTCTGAGTCCTTTGCATGAATGATAAGATCATCAATGTAAATCTTGACTCCTTCGATATGAGCAAAAATTTCTGTAAACGTTTTGTGAAAGATCTCAGGAGCATTAGTCAATCCAAAGGGTAGTCGCAGAAATCTATATCTCCCAAAAGGTGTACTAAAGGTTGTTAATTTTGATGAGCTATCTGCCAGTTCAATCTGCCAAAATCCCTTGTTTGCATCTAGGATAGAGAAAAATTTGGAACCTGCCATATCCCTTGTGATTTCCTCAAAGGTCGGTATTTCAAAATGTTCTCTCATTATTGAGTGATTCAAATTCTGTGGATCTAAACATATTCTCAGGGATCCATCAGGTTTGCGAACTAGAACAATTGGGTTTACAAACTCGGTCGGTTCATCTATGCTGCATATGATTCCATCATTTATCATTCTCGTTAATTCTTTCTTTAATGGATTCATTAAGTTAAATGGTACTCGACGTGTAGGAACTACCACAGCCTTGTAGTCATCCTTTAATTTAAATTCACAGGGTTTTATTTTGATCCTGCCTATGCCTTCAAATACATTCCTGTATTTAGTAAAATAGTCACTTTCCATTTTTATTTCTAAGATATTTCGATTTCTCTGTAGTAAATTTAGTTTCTGAATACTCTCGAGTCCTAAAATAGGTGCTGCTTGGTCAGTTGTCTTGACTATTATAAAATTCAAAAGTTCCTTAACTTTATCCTTAGTTCGTACTGTTAAATCACACGCTCCTAGCACATTTAATCTATTTCCACCGTAATTCAAAATTGTGATATTCGTTTTCTTTAGCAGTCTTCTTAGATTAAGAGTCTCAAAAATGTATGCAGGGATTACATTAACGTGTGCACCAGTATCTATCTTAAAACTAACAGTTTTATGACAATCTAAAATTCTTAAAGTCTCTGACCAGTCTAGTTCAAGATTCTTACCTCTGCTTTCCAGTGACGCCAATACATAGTCGTTTGTACTCTCTGGCGCCATTTCCAGTACATTTATCATGTTATTTCGACACACTTTCGCAAAATGATTGTATTCCTTGCATTTATTACACTGTTTGCCCATTGCCGGACAGTTCGGTTGATTATGTCTGTAACCACATCTCCCGCAATTCCGTTGTCTTCCTTGGAACTTATTTTCCGGTCTTTGATATGCACGACGATTGTTCTGTGTTCGATGGTTCTTTGTTTCTGCACGCGACCTATTTTCCTGATCACGTGACTCATTGAGACGTTCTCTTGATTTTCCTTTTATCACGTTGACTTCTATATTCTTTGGTTGATTCGACAAGAGTTTAATGTGACTCTCTGTCTGTTCGGCGGCTCTGCATATGTCGATTGCCTTTGTTAATGATAGCTCCGTTTCTCGCAGTAGACGTTCCTTTACCTTCTGATCACGAATACCACTCACAATTCTATCTCTTAATAATCGATCTCGTAAATTCCCAAATTCACAATTTATCGATAGCTTACGTAAGTCTGCTAAAAAATCGTCAAAGGCTTCGCTCAGTCCTTGCACACGAGTGTTGAACTTGTGACTCTCAACACTTTGGTTGCTTTTCGGAATAAAATACAACTCGAGTTTTTCTAGAATTACATTCGGCTGTTTCGCTTCTTCCTCACTAAGTTCTAATGTTTCAAAAATTTCTAGTGCTTCTTCTCCTAAACAATGGAGCAAGATGGCGGCTTGAGTTTCATTGTTCTTCGTCGTGAGTTCGGTCGCCGTCGAATAAAGTAGGTAACTTTTCTTAAATTTCTTCCAATTCGTTCCTAAGTCACCTTCTACCAACATTGGTTTTGGAGGAGGAAGATTTTGAAACGTGGACATGTTGAATCCAGTACGGGAGAATCTTTCGTCTTTCTCTAAACGTTTGTCGACTGCGCCATGTTATGTTTATTGTCTCGAGGTTACAACCAAAGTGAGCGCTCAGGTACCGTTCCCGTGATGCATCAGCAACGATCGCCACCTGGCAGACTCACTAATATTTTACATTTTAACATTTTAATACAATACATATTACAGATAATACATACGTATAACATATTATATTATTATACAATTTTTCACAATTACTTGATTATCACACCATAATTTTAACATTGTTTCCATCTCAGCTATAATACCGTGACATTTACGAATGATGCCTGAATTTAAAGATTGAGCATTTTTCGCAGCTTCGAGAATTTTTCTTTACCTTTTATAATTGATTCCGGTAGATCAAACTTCTTTGCCAATTCACAAATTTTCATTTTTGTATCGAAGTCTTTAATAATGTTAACTTTACATTCCAAAGATAAAGTTTTTATTTTCTTCTTTGATGCAGAAGAATCAGTTCTACTTCATTTGGATGACATAGTAGAGACTCTCAAGTCTCCGTAGATAAAACAAACACAGAAATAAATAACACAAAATAAATTGTAGCTATGTGTCGATTCCACGCGACATGTCTGAACATGTAAGCTGAACGATAGTGTGGGGGGGAGTGGGTAATCAAGAGTTGCATGGCACTCAAACAAAAGACGAATCGGCGAGATTTGAAAATCGCGTAACTCCGGGTTCGTGTAAGTCGAGGTATTACTGTACATTTATCATATTATCATGCTTTACCAACATTCTACGCTGTACTTAAGAGATTTGTAATGGAGAGTTTACTCTAAATGCACAGTGAGTTGTTGACCTGTTTTTTTAGGCATCAGAATTTTTCATCAAACTATTTGGACTTCAATAGCTAATGTTGAAAGATTAATCATAGGCTGCATAAATTTATTAGACAGGCTGTATGTTGGCTATGCCTACGTTAATATGTTCTCACCTGAGATGTTAGAATATGAAGGGGAGCACAATTTAGTTCAACCACTTTGAAGCTTAAATTAATAACTCCAGTGTTAAACCATCTGACTTCAATTTAAAAATCACAGAAGTTATTAGGCTTCAAACAGGGTGAACATAATCGTGCACTACACAAACAGAACATCCATACATACAGAAAAAAACATATCTTTTGCATATCTCGACATCATAAGGTGTCCTGAGTCCAAAAACGTAAAAATTTGGAAAGGGTCATTTTTTGACTGATCACTATACTTTCCCTCTGTTATATATAACAACCAGGAAAGTAAAAATTATCAAATACATATTTATATTTTGACTGAGTAATTAGTTAGAGGAATGTTTTAGCTTTGGAATAAAAATGTTTCTATGTTCTATCTTTATTAGAACTCTATTTATTGAATCTCTTATTCTGTGGTCACATGATGACTTCAGAATTCCTGGGCCTGTTTTGGTAACAAGTCCACCCCTGGTTGGAGTTGAGAGTTGGAGTCGGTAGATTTTTATACGACTCCACAGCCCTGATTCCAACAATCAAGGAACAATTTTGTGACTGAAATCCTGCATCTTCCAGGACAACTCTGCAATCAAGGAACAATTTTGTGACTGAAATCCTGCATCTTCCAGGACAACTTTGTCACCATACCAAGACAGTGAATAAAGTATTGTGTATCCCTTCTCTACAGTTTATTAGCATTATTTTCACTTAAACGAATACAAAAATTGCTTATTAGGTAAAAAAGTTCCTACAAGTGAACCAGGGCCCATATTCTGGTCACTTATCTCTTGTCTCCTCTTTCAATGACGAATGATGTGAAAATGAGAGATGAATTTCGTCTCTCAGAAATAGTGCTGATTCTGGTTACTTTTAACATTCTTGTCTTTGTTGATGACGTCACAATAATTCTAGGTTGATTATACATGTTTGGGTTATCTGTGTGCGCAACATGGTATAGAATTTTAACCAGTGAAATTGTAAAATTTTCGAAAATGCAGAATATGTAATCATAGATCATGTGGCAAGGAAAGCATGTGTTCAAATAAAGCATGTAATTTTGACGAATGTATGCTTTTTGCTTTATAATGTTTTTACAGATTATAATGTCAATTTGTCCCTTAACAAATAAAAATTTTAATAATCTAAGTTGGAAAAGTGCATGTACTTAGATATTTTTCAAAATATTACCATCTAATTTCTCTTTAACTATCTAAGTAAGATTAACATCATATTCGATAGTTCAGTAATTGATGTAGGATAATTAAAAAAAAAAATCAGTGGTGTTTCTGAGTGAAAGAAATCAGAAGCATTTTCTTTCTCAAAATATTCTTTCCTGAGATAGAGAATGTTCTCTAATACAATTGTACAGTGTGAGTAGCATCCAGTCGTCCATATTGGATATAACAAAAGACTGGTCGAAAGACAAATCTGCTCATCTTGGACAAACGAGAGAATTGTCAAGAGAAAAAGTTGTCCATCGTCCAAAAGAATCATGTTTGGAGAGACGCGGTGATCTCTTGAAACGTAAACAAATGATTAGCCAATCAGCAAGCAGCTTGTGAGAGATGAGAGAGAATAACCAGAATACAGTCCCTGATTGGATACCTAAGCTAGTCAGGTGACAGCCCCGGTCTCAACCCTGTTGAGAACTGCTGGCATATTATAGGCAAAAAGTAGTAGAGAAGAGGTCTGAAAATAAACATCAACTGCAGGAGTGCATTAGAAGAGTTTGGTATCAAACTTGGTATAAAATATGTTAAGAAACTCATCCATTCTATAACAGAATTTTGCAAAGTTGTTATTGTGGCTTGAGGTAACCCTACAAAGTGTTATGATCCCATTCAATGAGAAATAACTCTTCATGTTACGTTTTTTAGGCCTAATTGTATACAACGTGTAACAGTGATTATTAATGGTATTGGCAAGTCTTCGATGCAAAATAACATATGCAGTATAGAGAAGAAAACAAGAATAAAATAAAAGGAAGCAATTTATTACATATAATACTACATTGAACTAAACTACAATGCAAATTGTAATGATAACACTTCAATAGAAATGCAAATTAGAATATTTAACACTTTTTGATATACAGTATATCATAGGTGATACAATTTCCAAGGCAGCTATTGTCTACATAGAGACTCATTTATTGTAATCACAGATATGGATATTATTAAATTTTGGTATCATTAAATGAATAAGTTACAAAAGTACAAGTTAAAATATGATTATAAAACTTTGCTTATTGTTATTGTATTTGGGTAAATAGGCATTTTTAAGCTCTATATGTTATTGGCCTTAATAATGTGGCTAATAATATGCACTTTTTATCAACTTCCTGTGATTTAAGCTTCAAACATTGTTTCAATTGTTATTTGTTTCAGTAGTTTACAATATAGATATTTCTTGTATAACATAGCATTCCTACAACACAGTTTTGCTCTAATACTGTTGGAGAATTGGAGTCATCTTCGTACAAAATATCACAATTTTTGAGTACAAATACCATCATTCGATATTTTTTTTTAATTAAGCAAGCATGCATATTGTCATGTTTGAAAATTTCAATATTCCAAAATCCATGGACAATGTTTTGTGCCTTTTGCCAGGTTTTCTTTAGTGAGAACTGATTGTACAATTTTTCTTCTTCCTTGTCTTAGCTTCCTATCCTAGCTTTCCTGTAATCCAGGTATTGCTGTTGTCAGTGATAGTGTTCTAAATGAACCCAAAAGACTGTCATCATGCTTTGTTTTATAGATTAAGAATTTAATCTTTTATATAGTAACTTTTAATTTAAAGTTAGGCAAATGCAAGCAAATAAGCAAATGAAAATATCAGATTTTATGAAAAAACATGTGAAAAATAAAGTTGCTGATAATTGAGATTAAGGTCAACAGGAAAGCTCAGATGATATGTTGCCAAAAAGAAAACATCCTTGTTTAATAATGTTTAGCAGTGAAGAAAAAATTCATTTCAATGTGCAATACTTTTGATTATAATTATTAAAGCAATCAATAATTAACTAACAAACATATTTCTTTTAATCATGAAAAAGATTAGTATACTTTTGCTAACTTTTGGAACCTAACCCTATGTTTTGTACTAGTTCTTTGTTTCGTATGGCATGGATTTGCATAACACTGCACTTTTTTAAAACCGTAACTAGCATGTTATATGGGAGATTCCTGTACTTTAAATTGCTGACATTTTTTACTATAATTATACAGTAGCTGTTGTGAAAAGTGCAAGCAAACAATACGGATAAGTTATACATTATGTAATTTAATTAATCAATCATACTATATTAAAAAGAAAATCACTACAATTTTTATTTTAACATACTACATTAAAATAAAATCATACTAAGATTTTATTTTCATTAGTAAAAACATTAAGACTGCTATTTAATAATAGACAGATAAAATCTTTATTTGTTCATAAAGACAAAAGGATTTCTGCTCCATCCCTGAGTCCCATACCAAGCTTTTGATGTTTCTAATTCTACACACATATGTATATAAATCATTAATATTTGAGAAAGAAGAGAATGCAAGTAAATAAATATATTTTTATTTTAAGGTGATGGAGGAAATGATGTAAGCATGATTCAAGCAGCTGACGCTGGAATCGGAATAGTCGGAAAAGAAGGAAAACAAGCATCTCTTGCAGCCGACTTTTCTATAACTCAGTTCAGCCACATATCCAGACTTTTTCTTGTGCATGGACGTTTGAGGTAAAATATTTTTTACCCAAATCTAACATACATATATTATGTAAAGTTTAAGCAGAATTAAATATATAGAAAAAGTAAGTTTGATTTATCTAAAGCTAAACAATAACCAAATCTCTTTAATCATAATTCAATAAATAGTTTAATTATTAAAATAATTTAGTAGTAGTAACAGAAATTTTAAGATATACGGCCATTCTTACTTGTTAATAATTTGATGTAACTTAATTTATATCCTAATTTCTAAATTTTTAATCAACTAGCAGATATATTAACGTTCCAAATTGTGGATTCAAGCAGCAAAGTCTAGAGCTTAAATAATTGTTTTATTAATCAATGCAATATTTGTATTGATGTTGGTGTAAGATTATCCTATAGTCTAAATGAACAACCTTTTTTAATAGCTATAAACGTTCTGCAGCCCTCAGCCAATTTGTGATTCATCGTGGATTGATTATCTCAATTATGCAAGCAATTTTCTCATCCATTTTTTATTTCTCATCAATTGCTCTATATCAAGGATTTTTAATGGTTGGGTAAGTATATACTGATGATTATTGTTATTACTACTGTCATCAGGATTAAATTATAAATTTATTATAATTTTATAGCATGACTATTCTGTAATCAAAAATGTGGAATTCAAAGTTAAGTTTAAAAAAAATGACATGTTAAAATTAATTTTATTGACTTCAAAATGTATTTTTTAATCTCTTTGTTCCTGTTCTATTTTAATTAAAAAGTTGTATTCAATAGATTCTTTGAGATTACTTTCATATAATCTTGTATATTGGAAAATTTTGAATATGTTAAGCCAGTTTATTACTCTGACATATGATTCAGTTTTAATATTAATAAATACATAAAACAAACAAATTAAATTTCAATATGTTTAAAATCATTATTAAGCCAATTTATTGAGTGTTACACATTGTCAAGCCATTGAATTTGTTATATATTTGTGTATATTATTATTGTATGCATCATTACTATCAACATTCTGTTTGTCATCTTAAATTGACAAAGAATAGTACAACAAATTTTTTATTCAAAGAATATGGTAGACCCTTAGATAATTCTGGGCTCCAGCAATAACCTAGAAGGAAAGATACCAAACTATTAAGTGGTTTAAAGAAATAAGTTGATTGTAGTGTGTTTTCCCATGGAATCTCACAATAGTTCTAATTATGTATATTGAAATTTTTAAAATACAGTAATACCTTGACTTACGCTACCCCAACTTACGCGAACCCAAAGTTGCGCGATTTTCAAATCTTGTCGATTCGTCTTTTGTTTTAGCGCCATGCAACTCTTGATTACTCACTCCCCCCCACACTATTGTTCAGCTTACATGTTCGGATATGTCACGCGGAATCGACACATAGCTACAATTTATTTTGCGTTATTTATTTCTGTGTTTGTTATATCTATGGAGACTTGAGAGACTCTATGTGGTGATTTCTTGTAACTGTGAACAAATCAAAAGACAAGAACATTTATTAGCTTACATACATCTGACTTGGATTTTACACAAATTGCAAAATTATACCCCGACTTATTCGGTTATCGCTCGGTCCCACCTATCGCGTAAGTTTGGGGTATTACTGTATTGTGTTTAATTACTCTTTAATTAAAATAAATAAGTTTTGCACAAAGCAGAAAACAATATAAAAAGAAATTTATTTTAATCTTATTCAGAAGACACATCTTACAAGATTTATTACCAATATTGGATATTTTATTTAACTCCAGTTTTTTCAAATAAAAAGTAACTATTTAATATATTGATATATATTGTGTGCATATTTATATGAAAAATACATATTATAGCTTCAAAAATCTTGGCTGGAAGCTATCTAACTAACTCTGGAGTATTCAAAGTATATAAAAAGATCCTGTTACATTCATATGGCTTTATACCCTTCGTTTATTAGCAGACTTGTGCATCACAACAGTGTAACCAAGATTCATGAAAATGTGCTGTGTGATGTAATAAGTTTGAATTTTACAGATATTTGAGATAAATCTGGTGGCTTTTACAAATGTTGTTAATTTTTTTTATGTAAAATTAACATCACATATGATAAAACTACATGGTAATGTTAGTACTTACAGACATCTTAACTATGGTAATCTTTTATCTGCAGCTATGAAGATTTTTTAATTCTGCCAAAATTAACAAAGATATTAGCTTCTAGTGGATTTATTTTATTAAAACATATTTGTTAATGCATGTCTTATTTAAGTATTAATGGTGCAATCTTAATTATTAGAAAATATTTTACTGGCAAATAGAAAAGAATTTTAATTACTTGATAAATTGTTGTTATAAACAGAATATTAGAAATTAATAATCTATACTAATATTATAAAGAGGTAATGTTTGTATGTATGTATGTAAGTTTCTTTGCAGCAGGTAATCTCCGAAACTACTCATCTGATTTCAAAAANTCTCTCTCTCTCTCTCTCTCTATTTGTAGGATCTGCTACAAAAGAATTCAATCCTGTTGTGGGCAGATTTTGGATATGTTTATCTATACTAATATTATAAAGAGGTAATGTTTGTATGTATGTATGTAAGTTTCTTTGCAGCAGGTAATCTCCGAAACTACTCATCTGATTTCAAAAATTCTTTCACCAATATTTAGAATGGAACCTTAGGGTGGACATAGGCTGTATATTATTCCAATAAACATTCATATAAATTAAAAAATATAATCTAGGTTAAGGCTTTTATGTCCAACAGATGGTGCTACAAGTACGACGCCCTAAGTTCGCTTTTCTGTGAGGCATTATGCTTTTCTGTGAAAATGAACTAAAGCAGATCATCTTCTATCTATCTATATAAATAAAAATGTAATGTTCGTTTCTTCCTACCGATTTCTTTGACATTTTGATACAATGCTGCATTCGAATACGCATGTGTTTTTATATAATATACGTGTCGAAATTCCCCCCACTGAAGGGAGATGGTTAGGATTAAGGCTTACCGTAAAGAACTCTGCTTCTATTTATACTATTTTAGATGAGGTTTTTTTGCGTTTTTGATTGCGTTTTAATAGGGTATGTCAACAGAATGTACACTAAGAAGGGATTTTTCGATATTCCCCCACGGGGGAGAGGGACAGAATTAAGGCTTACTGTGAAAAACTTGGCTTCTATTATATTATTTTAGATGCAGGTTTTTGCGTTTTTGATTGCGTCTTAATAGGGTACGTCAAGAGAATGTACACTAAGAAGAAATTTTTCGAAAAATTTCCCCCCCACGGGGAAGTGTTATACATTTATAATAGATACATTTTGAGCCACAACAACGCGTGGCGAGGTCTGCTAGTATATAATAAATTCATACATAGTCACCTCAAGATTATATTTTTTATCATCATCTAATCTTTGCTTAATTATTGTATAACATTTTATCAGGAATCATTTTAAATATTCATTGTAAGCTGGCATCTATTGCTTTTGTGACATGCCTGTGAATAGAATAAATTAATCTGCTGTAATTGTAAACATTTATAATGTTAAAATTTACTGTAAAGAAAAACAAAAATACCTAAATATTTTTTTTTTACAGTTATGCAACTGTTTACACAATGTTTCCAGTCTTTTCATTAGTATTAGATAAAGATGTTTCTCCTCAGATAGCAATCATGTATCCGGAATTGTACAAAGAGTTGACCAAGGTAATTATTTTATCAATATTCATAGTAAGATAAGAGTAATAAAAGAATTTTTTTTAGCTGATATAAAGCTACAAATGTTTAACCATTTTTATTAACTTTATAAATTTCTCATGTTATAATCTTACAAACTATAAAAGCATAACTATATGTGAATCAATTAAAATTCATATTTTTATGATATTCTGTATCAAATGAAGGGTTAATTTCAAACTGTTAAGATACCTTGTTAAACTTTCTCTAACAAGAAACTGATTTTAATATTGGAGGTTCATTGTTATTATCCTATTACAATTTAATATTTAGAGGCTAATGATAATATTTAGAGACTAATGATAATATTATATATTAACCTTGAATTATTAACTCAGCAATTGAAGCAGTTGTTTGTCACCTTTGTATTCTCTCTCTCTATCTCTCTATCTCGCTCAAAAAAAAAAAAAAAATCAATATTGTGGCTTTGATTTTTCAGTATAGAATCAAATTATATTCATGTATTTTTATTGTCATCTTTATAAGTATATAGAATTTGAATCTGTTAGACATGGGCATCTATAGAAAATTTTCCAGAGGGATGCAAAGTTTGGAGACATATTAAATAAATTTATTGATGTGAAAAATATCCCAAAATAAATACAAGTACGTTATGGAATCAATACAAATATAATAGACAAAGCATCCCACAGTTGAGATTGTAAGGTTACATATCACTCAATCACTTTTATAATTTGTGGAATTTTTTTACTTGATCCTGAGAAGGACCCATTTGTCTCGACTATGGATGCCCATGCTGCTAGATACAAATAAGTAACATTTATTTCAATTGATTTGTTTTTAATTCTTAATTTCTTTTCAAGGGTCGTTCATTATCCTTCAAAACATTCTTCATCTGGGTGTTAATCAGTATTTATCAAGGTGCTATAATCATGTATGGTGCTTTGCTATTATTTGAAGATGAATTTATCCACATCGTCAGCATTAGTTTTACCTCACTCATCCTGACCGAATTGTTAATGGTTGCTCTCACCATCAGAATGTGGCACTGGTTAATGATTGTGGCAGAATTTTTCAGTCTTTCGATATACATTCTTTCACTTGTACTGTTGCCGGAATTTTTTGGTAAGTTTTTACAGCTTTTTAAATAATTATTACCAAAATAAGATCAGTCCAAAAGTTACAGAAAATGTTTTAATTTTCAGATACACAATTTATTCAGACTTGGACGTTTTTATGGAAAGTGATGGTTATAACACTAGTTAGTTGTTTGCCATTATATATATTAAAATACCTGCACAGGAAAGTAGCACCACCCAGCTATTCTAAACTAACATAAAATGGGTGATGTACAAATAAGTCACCAAAAATGCTAATATTTATCTATACAAGTAAAAATGTTACTTTTTCGGTTAATTCAATTTTAGTTTTAAAAAACAGTCTTAACAGCAAGTTTCTGAACAAATATTCTCATTATTCATCACAAAAATTATCATTTTTTTAAAAGTAATTTTCTATGCAGGAAGTTATTGTAATTGGTATTTAATAAGGGGTAGATATCATTTTATTTGAATATGTTTTCCAGGGAGATGGCTTGAAAATAATGCAGGGAAAAGTTAATGTCTTTTTATAAAAAAAGGAAAAATATATTGTCTTAAATGTGAATTTATGCAAGTATGAAAAGAATATATTTAATATATTTTGTTGAACATAATCTAGATTGAATTTTATTAATAGTTAATCCATAAAATAAATGATTTTTATGGATAATATATCATATTCTCATAAATATATAGTACAAAATGCAGAGATTGTCGTATACATCTGCAGTGACAATAAATTCATTAAAACCCCCACATTTTGCAAAAAAATTTTTATGATTTTCACACTACCAAAGGCAGGACACCTTCTAAAATAAGCCATAAACTTTTAACTTCTGCTTTATTTTGTGCAATAATTACCGAGACCAAAACTATTTTATGTGACAGACTAATTCCGATAAATGTATCTATTACATATATTCTGTAATTGTTTTCGATGATTATATTATTAAATCTACTTTTTTCTTCTTTAATGGAGTTCCTAAAAATGCTTATTTTAATATCTGAGCACTTTTGAACTTTCCAGTTCATTATCACAGATAAAATTAAAGGAACTACATGTACTCCCCTACATACACTTATGATGAAAAGTCCATTTGTACACAGAATACATTATGCTACTACTACTTAGTATTAGGTAAAAAAAAAACTGCATTTGAAACACCTAATACACTTAGAGCAACATTTCTTGCATTTATTACCATGGAAACTAAACTTGACATTATAAAACTATCTCCACTGCTAGATTTACAATTAGTACTTCAAAAATATGTCCAAAAGTTTATAAAATTTGCAAACAATAGTGAAAAAAAAAATGCTGTTCTTCAATGCACCTCAACAGCAGCAAAGAAACATAAGAACTTGTGCAGAAACAAAAAATGGTTTTATGCAAAAGAAATAACTCCACATTAATTATTTATTACTGGTCAGTCTCTGACCAGTAATATCACTTCAGAATCTGCACAAAAATTCAATTTTAGACATATGGTCAAATTGTTCATAAGTAGGGGACATCCCATATAAAATCTGCAAATATTGGATAGACACAAAAGTATTTGGATATTAAAATAAAACATTCCAAGGAACTTCAATAAAGCAGAAAAAGTTGGAATTTAACATATATTATGATACGGAAAGACCTTGTAGCAACACAGAACAGGTAGAAGTTAACTCAAAATTTACATTTTGGATTAACTATTGATAAATTGGCACGATAGGAATGTATCAGAAATATTTTAGAGAGTTTTTCTCTAGCCGAGACCATCCCTTCTGGACAGCAAAATTTCTGTCTTATCGCAAATTTTATATATACATAAAATTCTCCTTTAATAGACTTTTCCTAATTCTGTGATAACATTGCCTTATTAACAATAGGAAATTTTTAAATCATGTACAGTGATCGTGCTTAATAATTAATAATTTTTCATAAATATTTTTAACAAAATGAAAAAAAAAATTATTTATAAAGTTTTCATCTTTTCCAGTTTGTTGTAAATTGTGAAATTTAAATAAAAATTTGTTCTTTAATAATAATAACATCCTTGTCCAGTTATATTTAGAGTTTGAATCATAGATTTAAATTAAAGTAGTGTATGTATCCATCACAATTTATTAGAATATAGTGTTTAATGCACTTGTATAGTTATGGATTAGTTATTTATTTATTTAAAATTTTTACAATTAAAATAATATTTTATGGTGATTATAATTCATTAGTAATGTTTTCACAAATTCTTAGAATGTTTCTTTAATAAATAATTGAGATTTAAAGTAGTATGAATATTTGAGCATGTTTTAATATTTTAGAAGTATGTTCAAATAGTAAATTAAACAATTGGTACTGAACCATATTCTTATTTAGCAACAGATGAACAAAATAAATGCAAAATTGGCATATCAGCTAATTTAACATTTGTTTGCACAACAGTAAATAAATCAATTATATTTTACAAAATTCTTTACCTCTGCTTAAGTGTTGCTAAACAGTTGTGTGTGAATTAACGTAGGAGATTTTTAATGTTTTCGTTAAAAGCACAAAGTCTATATTGGATAAAACCAAAATTTTTAAGTTCTAAAAATGCTATAAATACAGGGTGCTTATAAAATCTCTCCACATATTTGTGAAAAGCACAAGTGTTACTAAACTTTTGACCAAGGGTGTCAATGTCAGTTCTGAAATAATTTATTTCTTTAAAATTCTTGGATTTATTTTCCTTCACACAAAGCTTAGTAAATATCGTTGTTGCACTTATTAATTTAGCAACAGATGAATGAATCTAATATAGGTTCTGTTTAACTTTTGGTCACCTGTAATAACTTTTAATGAATTAAAAGAATTTTAGCAAAATATGACCTACTTGAACCTATAACCGGTGTGTACAGAGTTTAATCTTCCAAAACAAACGTTTTCTTAACCCCTTCTGGGTTCTTCTTCAGGTAAATCAGCTGGATTGAACACAAATACGAAAAATTTGAACAAATCCAAACGCTGTTAAGTTTGAATTCAAAGAAAGGGTTAAGAAAATGTTCGTTTTGGAAGATTAAACTCTGTATACTCCAGTTATAGGTTCAAGTAGGTCATATTTTGCTATATACAACCTGGTGTGCAGTTGCTGTTTTATATTGAATTGCAATGCACTTTACCTACTGCATTCATTTTTAAAAATGACTAGAGAAATTAATTTTATTAAGTTATGGGATTTCATATTTAATTTTGTCAAATATATTGCAGAAGTAATAATGAAAATAATTCATTATTAATGTCTTGCTGCTGACTTATTTTGCTTTTGAGGATTACTGCACACTGAGAGTTATCCCATAAAAAAAGAACTATTAGAACCAGGTTGAAAAAGTAAAACTCAGCAAAAACATCTAAATAAAGGAAACTTTGAAAGTTGTGGCATAAGAATACTGGAAGCGGTTTTGACAGTAAGACTCAATCAGTGAACAAAGCGTACATTACACAGACTTACAACTACAGCAAGTTTTGGATGAAGCAATACCACTGTGATAACAACAGGGTATCCAACAATTTTTAATTTCCCCGAGATTTCCAGGTTTTCCAGGATAAAACTTGCATTTTCCCTCACTGACTGAAAACAACTCATGGCAGAAATTAAAAATTATTCAGTTTATTTGATGTTATCAAATGAAACTCTCAGTTGTAAGGCTGTTCAATTCATGTATTGTTGTTTCAAAATGTGAAGAAAATTGTTATGTAGAACCTATATGTGCTATACAATTTTATTAAAATAAGGAAATTCAAATTGACACTGTCAACCTTATAATGTAAAACCAATACAGTAGAGCATCGATTATCCGACCCCCGATTAACCGTCACATCGGTTAACCAACTGTTCTAGTCGGCAGATTTCAAATGTCCACTAGTAATGTGGCACTACAATATTTGGCTATGTCTTGGCTACTTTGATATTATTTTTGTTAAATTTTTGCATGTTTTAGCTGGCAACACTGGCTTGACCATGAAAGGGAGGCCAGTATTTAAACGATACCTAATTTTCTAATTATGATTGGTTGTTTGTTTTGTGAGCAATAAAATAATTTAAAAATAATTTTTAACGATACAATAGCAACATTATTTTAAAAAAAATTTGTTAGGCTTAACATCAATGAAAATTCAACGTGAAGTAGGTTAATAGCGATATACTAATATACAGTACTAATAATGTATTTTTTTCATTCTTTTCGGTTATCCGATTTTTTTCAGTTATCTGACCAACCCGAGTCCCCAATTGAGTTGGATAATCGATGCTCTACTGTATTTGTTTTCCAAATTATTCCAGCGAGTGAATATCACAAAATAAACAAAATACAGTAAGATCCTGTTTAACACTGCCTCGCTTAACGCTGATTCGATATAACACAGTCTGCGTGAAGCCTAAAAAAAGCTCAAAATTTATGCTGATTTAAATTATCGCGGCATTTCATTCATTCGTATATAATACAATTATTTGTGAACACAAATCAATCAGCAAAAGGTGGCAAAAAGGTGTACTTTCTTTAAATCTATGTTTTTTTGGTGCAATTTTGAAAGGATATAACATTTTGGATGCCATAGGAAATATTGACTTTGTTTGGCAAGAATTAACTTATAAATGCACAAACGAAGTGTGGAAGAAGTTATGGCTGAAGCTATTCAAGAATTCTTGACGAGAAGAGCCTATCATTGTATCGTTAGGTTGACCAAACTCAACCTAATCAGGATTAGGCAATGTAGACGAACAGGATATTGAGGAGTTACTGCAGGTTTCTGGCAAGAGCCTTACCAATGACGACCTTCAAGAACTGGCAGAACATGGAATTCATGTAAAACTGGAAAACAAAGAACCCAAAAAATTTCTCTACAGATTTCCTTAGTAAAAGTTTGGTAAGATAACCAAAATTGTTGATCAAATTGTAGCGAATGACCCAGATTTTGAAAGGAGTGCAAAAGCAAAACGAGGCATTTTGGATGCAATCTTCTGCTACCAACATTTGCTTAAGGAAAGAAAAAAAAGCAACAAATGAAACTACACAACAACTTTATTGTAAAAGAACAAGAATTTTAGAAAAATCAGGACCTTCCACACAAAAAATGAACTTTACATTTCTGTGTGCATATGTTTGTGTTATTTAACATATTTTTATATTAATTTGCATAATAATATAACTTAAAATTAGTTTATTTTTTATCACGTGTTCCCCTATCCCTATTTACTCTATGTTAAAATGACCTCGTTTAATGCTGTTTCGCTTAGCGCTTTGTTGTCTAGGAATGTATCCCCCACATTAATTAAGCGGGGTCTTACTGTAATCATACTCTCTATCATTAATGAGCAATTGCAAGAACTGCAAAGAAAGTTAGTGTTCTATAATTAATAAAGAGTATGATGATGATCATCATCTTTTTCTTTAGCATTGTCTTTATCATTTCTGCAGCCATCACCTCACTCTACTCTTTTTCTTGCCCTATTTCTTCCCATTTAGGAACTACCATAGCTTCTTTGCATCTCTGGGCTGCATTTTGAGTTGCACAGATCAACTGTTTTGGTTTATCCAATTTCCTCAATCCACTAGCCAACATGACTATATCATGTACTTTTCCGTAAGCTACAAACGTCTCTTCTTTTTGGCTTTTCATTGGGATTCTTTGTTGATGGAAAATACATGTTCCATATGAGCATTAACATGAGACGTTATTAAAATCATTATCACAGATATTTCAAATTCTTTTACTTCACCATATTGATGTGGCAGACTAAGCCAGAAAGAATCAAACCTATCATGCCGTCTGGAGTAGTGTTTTTATCTCCAGGAATTAGTGGTACAGTTAATGTCTTTGTATTGCTAGGCAATTTTATCAGTCATAGAACCATTTATCCAGTTGTTGACTGCAAGAGTTTCTGTAACATAATATCTAGCAGTTTTTTATGCTTTCTCTCTACTTCTTTCATAAGCTGGGTTTAGACATGTTGGTCCCTTGGTCAATTTGTATTTCAGTGACAACTTTTCCATCAATTTGATTGTGCAAAACTGCTTACAAGTTGTAAACTGTCTTTTTGAAATTCTATCTCTCTGTCAGTTATTCTTCTTTCTTCTTCTAACTTTTCTAATTGCATCTTTGGTGGTATATATGTTAGGCTCAAAGACAAAAATCGCTCATTGAGTGAAAAAAATGACCACAACATGTTGTGGTCGTTTCAAAATGGCCACAAAGC